AAATCAAATCAAATCAAATCAAATCAAATCAAATCAAATCAAATCAAATCAAATCAGGCTTTAAGGTGAATGAAACAAGTTTAAACTGTTTGATTTTTTTTTGGCATGTTATCAGCCTTTCACAAAGGTAAAATATTTCTATTGTTTTGCCACAATTTAAGATTAACAGATACATTGTACATCCGACATCGTAAAATACAAGGTTATAAATCTTGATATAGTTATTTTCCCAAGAAAACCATTTATTCGCCAAATCAAAAAAAAAACAGATCTCTGCGCTATAGATCAAGAGGTGGTCTGCAGATATACCTTGGAGTAACAAGAAAGTAACAAACTCTAATATATTTTTCAACAAAAAAGTTCATTTCTCTGTAAAGACATAGAACACTTTTTACGTCGCGTCGTTGAAAACATTATTATTTATTATGTCTTAAAAATCAATTAAAAGTATCAAAATAAAATGATTTAAGAAATCTTAAGAAATTCCCTGCTAAAGAATAGTAGTATACTGAACATAAAAATGCATTTAAAAAATAAAGAAAATGGACATTAAAAAAGATCCTCAGATGCATATTTATTTTCTTCTTCGCTTGCACCATTCATTGATTGTATAAAATTAATAATTATATGTTCAACTTTTCGTGTACGGCGCGGCGTTAAGAATTTGAAATCAATGAAAATAAAAAATGTTGGGATTTGTACTGGAGGAGTGTACTAGTGTATGTACCTTGAGTATGTACTGGAGGAGTGTACTAGTGTATGCACATTGAGTATGTACTCGATGAGTGTACTAGTGTATGTACTTTGAGTATGTACTGAAGGAGTGTACTAGTGTATGTACCTTGAGTATGTACTGGAGGAGTGTACTAGTGTATGTACCTTGAGTATGTACTGGAGGAGTGTACTAGTGTATGCACATTGAGTATGTACTCGATGAGTGTACTAGTGTATGTACTTTGAGTATGTACTGAAGGAGTGTACTAGTGTATGTACCTTGAGTATGTACTGGA